ACTTTCCATCAAAGGGAGTAATGGTCTTTTTTCAGTCGTACTAACACCACAGTAGCAGACTTCCTACAACAACCACACGTAAATGATATCAGTAAGGTACGTCCAGCAGAAGTCTGTGAATTTATTAGAAAAATTAAACCCAATAAGTCTCCTGGGATTGATCGCATTAGTAATCGCATGCTCAAATCGTTACCGTATACGTATGTGATACTGATCACTTATCTGATTAATTTCTTAATCGATAAGTGTTATTTTCCTGAGAGCTGGAAAACTGACGTAGTAATTCCTATTCCAAATCCTGATAGCAATAGGGCCTACCCCTAAAATTACCGTCCAATCTCACTACTTAGTGGAGTGAGTAAAATATTCGAATATTCGATTCTTAAACGCCTGGATCAGCACTGCACAAATCATAACATCCTCATTCCTGAGCAATTTGGGTTCTGAACTCAACTCAGTACTTCTCACCAGCTCTTGCGTGTTAACGAGCTGACCCATGATGGCTTTATCAATCGTAAAGCAACGGGAATATTATTTCTGGACGCAGCCAAAGCCTTCGATAAAATATGGCATAATGGCTTATTACTCAAGCTCATGCGACTTGAAATTTCACCCCAGTTTATTAAAATTATTCACTCGTATCTCATTTTGAGTAATTTCAGAGTGCGAGTGAGAGGGACCATCTCTAGCGATCATCCAATCAGGAGCGGGGTACCACAGGGTTCACTGCTCGGTCCCAGATTGTTTCTAATCTCTATGAACGGCATTCCTAAGCCAGAGTTCTGGCCATGTTCGCAGATGACACAGCGATAATAGCACAGCACAAAACACCAAACTCCGTCGTTGCTTTGTTTAATAATTATATTCCTCGCATGGAAAGTTGGTTGACCACCTGGAAGATTAAAGTTAATCCTACCAAAAGTGCGTGCCTCCTGTTTACACGTAAAAAGAACATTGGTTCTATTTTGAATGTCACCCTTTTCGGCCAGCCAGTCCTCTGTGTTACTGAATACAAGTACCTAGGATTAATTTTTGACTCAAAATTATCATTTAACACCAATTTTACCAAAGTAGTTGCAAAAGCAACTGCTGCTAGCGTTAAGCTAAAAACACCTTATTTCTCGAAAGAGCAGGCTAGCGATCAGACACAAGGTTTTGCTCTATAAATCAATCCTTCGACCAATTCTCTTATAGGGATGTCCTATTTGGGCGTCCTCCTCAATCGCAAAATCTTAAGAAGCTTCAAGTTTTTCAAAATAAACATATTGCTATGATAGTCAACGCCCCGTGGTTTGTTCGAAGGAAGCAACTCCACAGAGACCTAGATATAGATCCCATTATGGACTACATTTTCAAAATCTTTTCACTCAAAATGCCCTCAGCTCCGTAACGAAGCGATCAGGCAAATACCTGTATACCATCCAGGTGTGGCTAGCTCCAGGAAGAGACCTAGAGTTATCTATGATACGCACTGGGAATCTTTCCCGGCATTGAAAAGGCGTTGTGGAATATATTCTGCGCGCCAAAGATGGGCCAACTCGTTATTGACAGGTGGTCATAATGTTTTGGCTCTTGAGTGTATATACATACATATATATACATATATATATATATACATATATATTTATATACATATACATATATATATATATATATATATATATATATATATATATATATATATATATATATATACATATATATATATATATATATATATATATATATATATATATATATATATATATATATATATATATATATATATATATATATATATATATATATATATATATATATATATATATATATATATATATACATATACATATATATATATATATATATATATATATACACATACACACACACACACACACACACACATATATATATATATATATATTTATATACACACATGTTTAAAGTGGATTCCGAACCACTACAAACATCCATGGCACCGCCGTAACATAATCACTTCTAAACATTACTTTCCGATATAGGAATGCTCACCGAATGCCTTCTGCAACATTCGATACGCTTCCGCAAACAAAATTTAATTCAAATTATTTGCCCAATAAATTCAGACATTTCAAAAATCGCCGGAATCAGTTGTAACGTCTCGCAAAGCCAAGCGTAACTCAAACACTATTGGATATTTTGAAGTGAAATTTCACGCAGATGTCAAGGACAATGCCAGCAACCTAAAAAAGAAAAAAATATTGAAATTTCATAAGCGCCCGGAATTTTAAATTGAAAATTGGTCTTACTTTTTGGACATGGTAGTGTTTAAAATCCTTACCATAAAAATTTGATGAATTAGATAAGACCCGTGTCCAGAATTTTCCATTACGTTTAAATTAACTGAACTTTAAGAAGAGGAGGAGGGGGTTAAAGATTTCCTTAATATTCTAAATCTACAAAAAAACATTAGTTTTTTTATCTTACTTAAAAGTCAGATTTGCATAAATAGGTTTATGTATTTTATTTTATATCTATTCCTTCCAAAGTAAAATTCCGTTGAAAAAGTCTTTCATAAAATATTGCAAACTTTTTAAATGTTGAATTTAACATAATTAACGCTTACATACGCATACGCATAAGCATAACATAATTTCATGACGCTGCAATCAGAAAATTATACAGAAAGAGGAAAAGCATTTATTGACAATTTTAATCTCATTACGTTAAAGCAAATAAAGCCATTAAATCAAAAATGTGAAAAAATTATATAAATATTATTCACACATTAAATAAGTAATAAATATATACTTAAGCATTTTTAAAAAAAATCCTTTTTTTTTCAGTTTAAGTATAAATATTAATAAATATTTTTTAAAATTATGTATTAATATCAAAATATTAAATTTGTTTACAATTGGAGACATTAGTAAAATATTTTAAGAGGAGTGTTAATAAAATAATAATAATAATTTTTAATATTTTTTTGTGAAAACTAATTAAAAATATTGTTTCATCGATGCCTTTTATGCTTTTGCAAAAGGGCAAAATGTTTTTACAACTATTATATAAAAAATGCGGATTGTAGTTTTTTTATAATAGTTGCAGAGTTTCCGCCTGTTTTTCAAAGTGAACCCCTTGTGGTTTCGTGTATCACGCCGTATGATAATTAAGGTCTGCCGCTGACCAGGCAATTACATTCGACGTAGACTTGAGAACTCTGAAAATTGAGAAAAAATTTAATTGCACTTGTGATGAAATTTATATTTTAAATTTTTATTTCTTTGTATAACTATGCAGAGTTCTGTATTTGTATAAATGTAAATAAAAATTAAAGTGTTCCCATGATCCTGAAAGCGACCCTCTTCTTGAAGCCGTTATACGTCTAGTATAGGCCGAGACTTTATAATAGTTATATCTCCTGAATAATACAATCTATTCATTTGAAATACTATTTTTTTATTCATATATACCATACATACATATATATTTTTGCCAACGGCCGTACCATGCTGAATATACCGGTTCTCGTTAGATCACCGAAGTTAAGCATCATTGGGCGCGGTCAGTACTTGGGTGGGTGACCACCTGGGAACACTGCGTGCCGTTGGCAAGTTTGGGACCTGAATGGCCGAGTGTCTAGCGCTCTGGCGCTCGGTGCCACAGGTTTCGGGTTCGAATCCCGGCGGTGCCATGGATGTTTGTAGTGGTTCGGAATCCACTTTAAGCCGTAGGTCCCGGTCTTCTATGACTGTAAGAGCGTCACGGAGCAAAAGTCAGGCTTCTACTTACGGGTGCTCCATCACAACAGAAGCTGCTTCCTTCCCCTTCAATCATGAGTCCATATGGGCTTGTGGGCTTGGCCAGCCAAGTGGGATAAGAAACAACAACAACATATATATTTTAGTATCATTCGAGTAGTAGTACCACTTTAGTAATTACAATTAGGTGCGACATTATTTTATTTTTTTATTATTATTATTGTTTAAATTAGTTTTTTTTATTTGCTAAATTAAGTATTTCCTGTTTCTTGTCTGAGGACAGTTTAAGTGGATATCACATTGAAAATCGATTTTAGAAATATGGAAGTCTTCCTGCCATAATTATATTAAAAGAGAATGGTGTGTTACATTAAACATGGATTATCATTCAACTAATGCATAGTAATTTTTTAAAGTCAATAATGATAAGTAGAAATTAGAAGAAAATATATTAAAAGGAAAAGAGAAATAGGAATTAAAAAATAGAGAAAATTTATCGTAACTTACAATATTTTTTTAATATTCGATTGTTTAATAATTTCATTACTATTGTTTAATTTCATGCTTTGTTCTTCCAGTGAAATTTGAAATATTTCTTCGTAATTCATTTTCATAGCGCAGAATCTTTTCTGTGATTTTTATAATATGAGAACATAATTTTTTATCGTATTTTTGATTAGTTTTTAGAAAATATTAGAAGTATTACTTTTTGAACTCTGGATTGAGCCATAATGTGCAGAAGAGGGTACGAAGCCGATGCAAGAGATTGTTTTCAAAAACGAGAAAACTCGATGAAGATAATAACATTTTGTGCACGCTTGTCGTATAGATGGTCACATCACCCTTGAAGAATTTTTTGTCCCAAATAGAAAAAATATGAGGTAGCTCATGAGGTCATCACAGAATATATGTCAGAATGTGAATGTGAATCTCCTTTTCGTAGCCCCTTCGGTGGCTGTTCGTGGAATAAAAAGACATCAAAACATGTTGTTGTTGTTTCTTATCCCACTTGGCAGACATCTAAGGCCAAGCCCATGAGCCCAAACATACTCATGATTGAAGAGGAAGGAAGCAGCTTCTGTTGTGATGGCGCACCCGTAGGTAGAAGTCTGACTTTGGTTCCGTGACGCTCTTACAGTCATAGGAGATCGGGACCTACGGCTTGAAGGGGATTCCGAACCACTACAAACATCCATGGCCCCGACGGGACTCGAACCCGAAACCTGCGGCACCGAGCGCCGGAGAGCTCGGCCATTCAGGCCCCAAATTTTTGAATGCCGACGGCACGCGATGTTCCTGGGTGGTCACCCTCCCAAGTACTGACCGCGCCCAATGATGCTTGACTTCGGTGATCGAACGAGAACCGGTTCAAAATATTAAAGATCTAAGTCAGGGGTGGCTGCCCCAAATGATCTTTAGAAATGCATGCATGCATCAGAAATGCACTTTAGAAATTCATCATAACTCTGCAGGCCTCATATTTAATTACATATCCCACATATTGGATTTAGACCCACTATAGACATTTTTTTGGAGTGAAAAATTGAGGCATAATGAGTTATAGCTATTGTGTTTACTATTACTCTTACATGTGAACATAGATGATATCACTAAATACACATTGTAAAGAAATACATAAAACTAAAAATGAAATATAAAAAATATTTTAGATAAACGAAATAAAAAAATTAAAGCATTAAAAAATATTTAATTTACTAGTGTGATATTTGTTTCCACTCTTTCACTTATATTTTGCAAATCGATCTCAATTTGATATTTGCACATTGTAATTGGTGTTTGCGTCCGTTACGTTTGAAGTGAAACATAGAACCTGTTACATTAGATGTTCTAAGATGCACGCGCATTATGAGTTCTCAGAATATAATTTAATTATTCTGCGAACTCATAACTGTAAACTCATAAATAAAACAGGCAACATCTGTCATATATTTGCAAGAATATGATTTTAAAATCAAAGTTAATTTTTCTCATAATTCCACAGTTAGTTTTTGAATATATGGATGTACACATAATGTATTTTTTAAATACATTGGCCATTTTAAAATAAATATGTTTGTAAAAATATGATAAATCTCACAGGCCAGAAAAATATGCAAGGCGGGTCGCGGGTTGGCCGCCCTTAGTCTAAATGAAAACTTAACATAACTGTAAAAAATATTAAAACCTTTAAGAATGAAAATAAACTAATAATAATTAAATCACAATTTAATAAACTCTACTGTTATTAAAAAATTTGTTCAATTTTATTTATTATATAATTATGCTTTTTTTTTTTCAAATTTAACATGTTTTGGTTTACAATTCATTGATTTTAAAATATTAGTTCTAATACTTCTCAATAGATGGCAGCATGCAGTTAAGTATTTGTTATTAAACGATAACAATTTTTTTTAAACTTTAATTTAAAAATTTCAACATATTTTTATAAAGCGAATATATGAAACCAATTTAATATAAATTTGCTATGCAAATGCACAAAATTTTTTGGAAGAATTATTTTTCAGAAAGTTTTTTTTTTTTTTTTTTTTTTTTTTAATTAGCATGTGCAATATTCTGTTTCATAATTTTTTTTAATGTCAAGTTTAACAAAAATAATTTTGTCACTTTAAACGTGTTTAAAAATGTAAAGAAATTTTTTTCTTTTTAAAAATAGGAAATATTTGCATGATTTTTATAGAATAAAAATCAATATTAAAAATTCACAAATTCTATTATATTACTGTAATATTACGTTTAGTACTATGTATTTTTTTAAAAAAATCATTTATACATATACATATACATACACAAAAAAAAAAAACAATTGAAGCAAACAATGTAACATAAAATTATTTATAAAATTTACTAATTAATAAAATTAAATATGATTTGCTAACTTAAAAAAAAAAGAAAAAATTTCTCAGTTTCCGATGGTTTGGGTTGCTTTTCGTGCACTCTTTGGGCAAATTAGACCTGAACCTACAGTTTAACATGGATTCCGAACCACCAATAAACATCTATTCCACCGATGGGATTCGAACCTGAAGCCCAGTTTCTGATGAGATTGCGAAGTGAGACTTTCAGAGGCATCACAGAACATTGAGAAATAAGAACACGGCATAATTTTTGAGGCTGGCTCATAGGGTTTTGAGCCTCAGGGCAAGAACATGTTCAGAATTTGATAGTTTTGTAAATTTATGTGATATTAATGTTAACATATGGTTTAAAATACACAGTCCATGTCACATTAATGTGACCACTAGGGATTGCAATACCGAATACCGGTATTTTGAACCATTTGTACATTTTTGTAATACCGGTATTCTCAAGTTTAAATACCGGTTTTCGTTATTTACTAGAAATTTAGAATTCTTATTTGTGAAATTCTTATTCTTATCTGTAAATTCTTATTCAGAATTCAACACCTATCCACATTCAGAAGAATTCGGTACAGTTATCAAAGATTATTATGACACTAATGTCGGTAGTGAAAATTAATTGTCTCTTGAACAAAAATTAGAATTAGCGATAACTAAAAAAATTTCAACAAACCAAAATACAATACAAAAATTAACTATATCCAAAACAATCAGACGAGAAATAGATTTATTTGAAGATGAGGCATTTAGAGGTAAATACTTGGCAAAAGTATATCGCGCATTGATAACAATACCACCCACTAGCGTAGATGCTGAAAGAGCGTTTTCGACAGCTGGTAATTTTTGCACAAAATTACGATCCAGGCTTAATGATAGTACAATTGATGCATTATGTTTTTAAGATCATTTTTCAAAAATTTGTAATAGTACCACAGACTGAATAGTGATATTTACACTTTTTTAAGATTTAAATAAATAAGATGTTCCTTTACTTTTTTGTGATTCTTTATTTACTGTTATAATTTATTAAGCTACAAATATTTTTGTGATATTTACATGCTCTAATAAAAGTGGCAAATAAAACAAAAAAACACCTGCGTTTTCTTTCTTTTTCTAAAATTTATACTACCGGTATTAAAACCGGTATCCCGGTATTAAGATCTAAAAAATACCGAATACCGGTATTGAACTTTTGGTCCGGTATTGCAATCCCTAGTGACCACCACATACTTTCGACGTCAACGTGAAATAACCAATCACAAAAGGCAGGTGGCAACACATTGCAGTTTAGTGTATATAAAGGATATCCTAGGGCATCGGAAAGCCTTTCAATCATTATTTTTATTTATAATCAAATTTTATAAGCTGCTCTGCCAAAGGTGGTTATTCTGGCTTTGACAGGTGGTCACATTAATGTGACTGGACTGTGTAAATCAAGCAGAATGACTGAAGTATCTTTCTATTTCTATTCTTTGAAGTAATTTTCTATTTTGACGATTTAGTCTATGCTTTTTGGATGGCTTGGATATTTCGAATTCAGTGAAGATCATGAAGGCCATAAGAATACTTAAGGCACGAAGGGAAATTTAGTAACGACTCCTCCGTAATGTAGAGTGTAGATAAATTTAGGACATCAATTCGTGGCCAGAAATCACTAGCATATTAGTCATATGGTAGCTATTCTTCTATTTTAATAAAATTTTATTCGTATTAGACATTAATATTGAATCTTTATCACTAATATCGAAAAAAAAAGATGCAGTGAGTTTATATTTTTGTCAACAATTCAATAAAAGAAAAATTAACATCATAATCAAATCTATCAATTTCCGTATTGATGGTTTTTCTTTATTAACGGTTCGTTTAGATCATCCTGAGAAAGCAGTACAATTTGAGGTAATTGTTTCTATGGGAACAATTTGGTCTATGACAATAACAATGTTTTTTGTATGCCTTGGATATTTTGAAGAATTCAGTGAAGATCATGAATGTTGCAAGAATGCTTAAGACAAGAATGTTGAATTAGTAATGACTCGTCCTGTAGAGTGCAGATAAATTTAGGACATCAATTCGTGGCCAGAAACCAGTAGTATATTAGTTATATGATAGCGATTTTTCCATTTTAATAAAATTGTATTCTTAACAGACATTAGTATTGAATTTTTATCAATAATATTTGAAAACGAAAAGATGCAATGATCTTATATTTTTGCTAAAATTGCAATAAAAGTGAAATTAATTTCACAACTGTTCATATTCAAATGTAACAATTTCAGTATTGTTGGTTTCTCTTCGTTAACGATTCGCTTAGATCATGCTGAAAAAACAGTACAATTTGGGTAATTTTCTATTTTTGACGATTTGGTCCATGTCAATAAAAATGTTTTTTGGATGCCTTGGATATTTCGAAAAATTCAGTAAAGATCATGAATGCAGCAATAATGCTTAAGACAAGAATGTTGAATTAGTAATGACTCATTCTTAATGTAGAGTGTAGATAAAGTTAGGATATATAATTGTCAAAAATTACTCTTAAATTCTTGGGTATCTTTTGAAATCTGCAATGACTTCATGCAAGAATCTAATTACAATAACACCATGAAGTTCACTTTTGCTCTATACCCTCCCCTAATTGTGCATCCCATGAAAGACGTATCAAAATATTTTCATAAAGAAAGTTTAATCTAATTTGAAAAATGATAATTAATGGAAATCAATCCAAATTTATAAGAAAAGTTTAGTATTATTAAAGCAAATAATACTAAACTTTCTAATATTGCTAAACTTGTGTTATAAATTGCATGTCAAATTTTAATAAATGTTGTGTATTAATAAGAACAATCTGGCATTCAAATCGTATAGCAGATATTCAGTGTTATGTGTAATGAAACTCATGAAATTAGCGATTGTCTGTGCTACCTTCACACGTGGAAGCTATTACAGATAGAATATGGACTACACCATGAGTTGTTGCATCGTGATTGGAGATATCTGCTCCAATGAGAAGTAAAAAAGCTGACCCCCCATCTCTTGATGGATTTTATTTTTAATGAAGGTTTTCGTAGAAGAAAGGGGAGAGTTCTGCGATGAGTTGACAAATAGTTAATAATCACTTTTTCAATTAGACTGAACTGTCTGATAACTAATACTAATAACTATCTGTCTGTCTGTCAATTTTTTCATGGGATGTACAATCATGGGTGGGTATCCAGTAAATGTGTACTTAATGGTGTTCTGATGATATTGTAATTAGATTCTTTGCTTTTAAATGATTGCTACTTAAAATGATGTCTTTACCGGAAAACTTATTTTGCTTCCCTCAATATGAAAATAAAGAAAAAATTTTTTTAGACTGTTGTTGCTCCAGAAGTAAAATAACACTTTTGAAGAATTTTCAAGAAATATTTGAAGTGCGTAGTAATTTGTTTACGTAGCTTTAAGTCACTCCCAAAAAATAATGATTCGCTAAAAATATTTCTTCTTCTGATTGA